TATTGATTTTGATTTATAACAGTCGTTCGGTGCAATGTATGTTGATGACACTTCTTTTGGTTATTATGATAATTAAGCATACGTTTTAATGATAATTAAAAGATACTTCACTAGCTCTCATCTAACAAAAATGTCCTACGTCTACAAAATATACAAAATAAATAAAGGTAGATATAGAAATAAACCAGGAGAAAAATGAAGAAAAACAATAGAAACAACACATTAAAAAAAAAGTCAAGAATAAAAATAGAGTAAAAACAGGTTTGATTTATTCTTTGATTTTCAAACCTGTTTAATGTATGTACATATTTACATGTATATCTTTCCGGTACATAATGTATGAATCAATATGTAATATTTCAAGTATAAAGGGGAAAGATTTATTATTGCATTTCTCTGTCTCGCTCGCTCTCTCTATTTATTTGTCATTTCCTCAGTCTCTGTCTGTCTATGTGTCTGGATCTCTTTTTCTGTCCCTGCTTGTCTGTCTGTCTGTCGGTCAGTCTGTCTCACTTTCTCCTCTCATTCTTTCTATCACCATCTCTGTCTCTTTTACTCTTCTTTCCACGTCTCCTCATCGTCCCACCCCTTTCTCGGTCCTTCGGGAGGAGAAAATGCCTTACAGTCTGGCAATGAAAGTTTCAATCAGATTATCGTGTTTCCTCGTAAATGACTTGGTGATGTCATCGATCCGCTGCTCCTTCAGTTCGCGGAAGCACACGAGGACGAATATGTAGCCGGCGACGCAGACGACGCAGTGGAACCAGAAGATGCCGCCGGTCGCCACGGCAACGCGGATCTTGTGGAACACCACGTCGACGGCGAGCATGGACGACCACATGACCATGGACGCCGCGGACACGCCGATCCACTTCTGGCGGGAGCCGAAGATCTCGCCGAGGGTGACCCAGGCGATGGGCCCCACGCCCGTCCCGTGGGCGAACGTGAACAGCACCACGCAGAAGACCTCGGCGATCCACTGGTACGTGAAGTAGTTCTCGACTTTGTGCAGGTCCTTGAGGAAGAGGAAGAGGCCGAGCACGAAGGCCGAGGCCGCCATGATGGTGAGGGAGAGCAGCAGGAGGAGCTTCCTGCCGATGTGGTCGACGAGCAGCGCCGAGAGGGTGATGGCGACGATGAGCACGACCGTCACGATGAAGTAGGCCGCGTTGTTGTACGAGCTCGAGATCTTGGAGAAGAGCTCCATGCCGTAGAGCGTGAAGCTCGCCACGCCGGTCATGTTGTAGAGGAACATGAGGCCGCAGGAGATGAGCAGCGGGCGCCAGAACGTGGGTCGGATGAGGTCCTCGCAGGCGATCCTCCACCGGTCGATCTCGCAGCTGTTGGTGATCTCGTGGTACTCCTCCATGACGTCGTTATCGACGCCGCGCAGCCACTGGAGCGTCGAGAGCGCGTCGTTGGGGCGAACGTGGATGAGGAACCTTGGCGACTCCGGCATGCACAGCACGACGGACACGAAGAAGGGCATCGTCGTGCAGATCCCGACAATCGCCAGGTTCTTCCACACGAGGATCTCGCCCAGCAGGAAGCACAGGAGACAGCCAACCTGCGGGGAAACACGAGGCTCATTACTCCTCTCATCTCTCGCCCGTGACAAAACTGCAAATCTCTATCCTGTCACGGGGGAAGACTCCCGCCATGCCACCCCCCCCCTCAAAACAACCAAACTACCTCCTAGAACAACCTTATCAAACCAAACTACCTCCCTAGAACAACCTCATTCAAACTCCAAACTACCATTTCCTCAATAGCTACCACATTTATTCTTTCTTGTCATTATTACTTCCTAAAACAACGAACAGAACCTGGAAGGCGAGGAGCGGAGCCGAGGAGATGGCGCCCCTGATACGCGGCACAGAGACCTCGGCCACGTACACCTGCGCGATGACCATGATGATGCCAGTGCACACGCCCGACGTCGCGTGGAACAAGAACACCATCCACACCTGTTGATCGAGAGGAATGATAAAAGGAGAGGAAAGAGGTGGAAAGAGATGGCGATGAAAGGGAAGAGATGGAGAGAGATGATGGCGATGAAAGGGAAAAAGATTAAAGGAGAGGAAAGAGGTGGAAAGAGATGACGATGACAGGGAAGAGATGGAAAGAGATGACGATAACAAGGAAAGAGATGGAAAGAGATGACGATAACAGGGAAGAGATGGAAAGAGATGACGATAACAGGGAAGAGATGGAAAGAGATGACGAAAGGGAAAGAGATGGAAATGATGATGAAAGGGAAAAAGATGACGATGAAAGGGAAAGAGATGGAAAGAGATGATAATGATAGGGGAAAGGAAAGGTAGAAAATACACACGGTGCATGGCGAAAGGGGAAGATAAAAAGTGGATAAAAATACATTGTAATCAGATAAGGAGAAAAAATATGAACGAAAAAATATATTGGAGATGACTATAAAAGGGAAGAAATGAAAAATGATTAATACTTCATAAAAAAAAGAAATATACAGAAGACGTGAAGGAGAAAATAAACGTAGACGGACAAATGGTATAACAAAAGAAGAAAAGATAACAAGCCGATATATAAATATGAGATACGTTATAAGGAGAAGATAACCTTAAAGAAAGGAGATGCAAAAGGAAGAAAGAAATAAAAAAAATGCAAAGATAAGGGTCAAAGAAAGACGAAATGAAATGAAGAAAGACAGAACTAGAAGGGAGGGAGAAGAAAGGGAATAGATAAAGATGGAAGGATAAGGGTGTTTGTCTGCTTTGTTGTGGAACATAGGAAAGGAGAAATGTGTGCGTGTGCGTGTGTGTGTGTATGTGTGCGTGTATGTGTGTGTGTGTGTGTGTTGTGTGTTTGTGTGTGTGGTGATGATGTAGAGAGAGAGAGAGAGAGAGAGAGAGAGAGGAGAGAGGAAGAGAGAGAAAGAGAGAGGAGAGAGAGAAGAGAGGAAGGGAGGGAGGAAAAAAGGGTAGGAAGGAAGGTAGGAAGAAAGAAGAAAGAAAAAAGGAAGGGAAAAAGGAGGAAGGGAGGGGACAGAAAAGAGTGTAGGTGGGAAGAGGAAAGAAGGGGAGAGAGAGGAAAGGAGAGAGAAGAGAGAGAGAGAGAAGAGAGGAGAGAGAGAGAGAGAGAGAAGAGAGAGAGAGAGAGAGAGAGAAGAGAGAGAGAGCAGAGAGAGAGAGAGAGAGAGAGAGAAGAGAGAGAGAGAGAAGAGAGAGAGAGAGCGTAAGTGTAAGAAACGATAGCGAAGCTGATAATAATCTAGTTAAAAAGACGGAGAGATGAGAAGTGAAAAAAACGAGTCTGCAAAGAAGATAAAAGCAGAAAAGAAACGAGAGAGAACAAAATGAAAAACGAAAGAGGAGGGATACAAAACACCTAACGCATGAGAACACGAGAAACGAAAAGAATGGAAGGAGGAAGTGGCATCTCGAGGAACGACCGTGCATGGGAAGATGCGAAGAGCCAACTCAGTGCAAGGGAACCATCGTCAGGAGCAACACGACCTGCGTAGTTGGCCAGCACCCGGAGAAGAAGCCCCCTGCAAGACCTGAGGGAGGGCAGATTGGGTCAGTGACTGGCAGAGAGATGTCAGATTGGGTTAGTGATTGGTGTAAGGGCGTTGGATGGAGTTAGTGATTGCTAGGAGAGTCAGATTAGGTTATCGATTGGTAAGAAAGGTATCGGTTGTTTAGTGATGTAAATCGACGTTGGATTGGTATGCTATGCAAGAGAGTCAGATTGGTTAAGCGTCTGGCAAAGGACGCGGTTAGCGGATTGGTGTAAGAACGGTTGGATTACGTTACGACCATGTAAAGAGATGTTCAGATGGTAGTGATTGTGTAAGGCGTTGGATGGAGTTTATGATATGCTAAGAACGTCTTAGGTTATGATTGGTAAGGAAGGTCGGGTTAGTTTGCTATGTAAAACGACGTTGGATTGGGTTATCTATTAGCAAAGAGACGTCAGATTATTTAGTGATTGATAAAGAGACGTCAGATTGGGTTAGTGATTGGTGTAAGGGCGTTGGATTGAGTTAGTGATTGCTCAGGAGTACTCAGATTAGGTTATCCGATTGGTAAAGAAAGGTCGGGTTAGTTTAGTGATTGGTAAAACGACGTTGGATTGGGTTATCGATTGGGTAAAGACGTTCAGATTGGGTTAGCGATTGGAAAGAGACGTCAGATTTTTTTAGCGATTGGTGTAAGAACGTTGGGATTACGGTTTAGCGACCTGGTAAGAGAATGTTCAGATTGGGTTATCGATTGGTATAAAAGACGTCTGATTGGGTTAGTGATTGGTAGAGACGTCAGAATGTTAGTGATTGGTAAAAAAACGTCTGATTGGGTTCTTTAGCGATGGCATAAGGACAGTTTGAATATCCGGTTTAACGACTTGTAAAGAGACATCAGACTGGTTATCAAGTTGGGTAAGAGACGTCAGATTGGGTTAGTGATTGGCATAAAGACGTTTGATTCGGTTAATGATTGGTAGAGACGTCAGATTTTGTTTGTGATTTGGTAAGAGACGTCAGATTAGGGTTACTGGTAAGAAAGGTCTGGGTTAGTTAGTGATTGGTAAAACGACGTTGGATTGGTTACGATTGGCAAAGAGACGTCAGATTGGGTTAGTGATTGGTAAGAGACGTGGGTTAGTTAGTGATTGGCAAAACGACGTTGGATTGGATTAACGATTGGTCAAAACCAACTGAATCAGTGAAAGAATTTCTTGTGGCCATTTTTTTTTATTTTTTTTTTTTATGAGAATGTATATAATGAATGACTAAATTAGGAAAAAAGACATAGGTAACATAAGTGAATTAAGTATTATACAAAGGTGTGATTAGGATTGTTCGTCTCGGGTCTGTGAGGATATTAAAGTGAAATGATGACGACTCGATAAAAACGGCGAATTAAGGATTAAACCGAGCTTAACGCAGGAAATGAAAATGGTTTATGTCAGGTGGTTGTTTTGTTTTAATTAAAAAAAAAAACTGATCTTTCGATATTTCGTGTTGTTATTGTAGATTATAAAAAAATCTACGTATAGTTCATTTGTTATTACTTTTTCAATGCAGGTCATATGGTGAATTATTGTAAATATTAGATTATCTATTGGCTTCATATGGAACTTTATCGAAATGGTAGTATTATTTCAATATTTTGTAGTAGATTATATATAATCAAGTCTACATGAACTACAAGGCATGAATATCATTAGCATAGACATTCGTACGCACAAAGAAGACCGCTACCTGTATAATATGAACTTTGAACAACATAAACATGATATTTGATCTAGATATTCTACACCAAAAAGAAAGAAAGAAAGAAAGAAAGAAAATTAACAAAAACAACACTTGTCCGATAAAATGCATATATTATTGTACAGATCAGCAAATATTTAATACAAAGTCCAAATCAAATCAGTACAAATAAAGTACATAGACTGGAACAGAGAGACTTATTATAATTAAATAAATATTAAATGCCAATTAAAGAAAACAGGACCTTTAATATAGGAACAAGAATACTAATTCTACACAAAGAACACACTTGTAGAAAAGGTATGAATGAGAATGTATTTCTGACGAAGACATAATCGAAACAGGTCAAATACATTTCTTGTGTTTTGAAGATATCCATTCTCATTCATACCTTTTCTACATTTGTCAACATGCTTACGATTCTAATTAAATCTCTTGTATTGTGAGGATTTTCCTTTCTCATTCATATACCTTTTTCTACATTTGTCAACATGCTTACGGTTCAAAAATACAATCTCAAAACACGTACACTACGCAAATGAATCTATATATCACGCTATCTCTATAACACAAACACCCAACCACGATTAGAGATAGAGTAATTCAAAAAGAAGAAGAAGAAGAAGAAGAAGAAGAAGAGAGAAAAAGAAGAAGAAGAAGAAGAAGAAGAAGAAGAAGAAGAAGAAGAAGAAGAAGAAGAAGAAGAAGAAGAAAGAAGAAGAAGAAGAAGAAGAAGAAGAAGAAAGAAGAAGAGAAGAAGAAGAAGAAGAAGGAAGAAGAAGAAAGAAGAGAAGAAGAGAAGAAGAAGAAGAAGAAAGAAGAAAAAGAAGAAGAAGAAGAAGAGAAGACGAAGAAGAAGAAGAAGAAGAAGAAGAAAGAAGAAGAAGAAGAAAAGAAAACAGACACCCACCTACATTACCACACACACGAAAAAAAAAAGTCAACACAGTCACATGCCCCAAAACCCCACCCACACAAAACAACACCCAACACAACCCAGGGGGAACGACTTACCCAGGAGGTACACGTAGGTCTTCCACGCCCCTAGCGAAGGTCTCATCAGTTCTGCTGGGTTCTTCGTCATGTTATAGGCGAGGGCGAAACCGCAGGCGAGGGGCCCAGAGAACAGGCGAATGTCACTACCTGGGGCGAAGACATGACGTGGTGGATGGTTGGGGTTACGGGTGGGGGTGGGAGGAAGGGTGAGAGGTGGGGGTGAGGGGGGTGAAAGTGAGAGGTCGGGGTGGGGAAAGGTTGAGAGAGGGGGTGGTGGTGAGGGTGAGAGGTGGGGGTGGAAGGGTGAGAAGGTGGGGGTGAAGGGGGTGAAAGTGAAAGGGGAGGGTGGGGGTAAGGGTGAGAGTAGGGGTGAAGGAGAGGGGGGGAGGGTGGGGGTGGAAGGAAGGGTGAGAGGTAGGGGGTGAAGGGGGGTGAAAGTGAGGAGGTGAGGGTGGGGGTAAGGGTGAGAGGTAGGGGTGAAGGTGAGAGGGGGAGGGTGAGGGGGGTGAAAGTGAGAGGTGAGGTAGGGGTAGGTGAAGGGTGGGTTGGGGTGAAAGGAGAGGTGAGGGTAGGGGTAAGGGAAGAAGGTGAGGGTGGGGGGTAAGGGTGAGAGGTAGGGGTGGAGGTGAGAGGGGAGGGATGAGAGAAGGGTTGCTAGGGAGGAAAGAATGGAGGAGGAGGAGGAGGAGAAGGGGGAAGAAGAGAGAGGCCGAAGGAGGAGGAGGAGGAGAAAGTGGAGGAGATGGAGGAAGAGGAGGAAAAGGTGGAGGAGGAGGAGGAGTAGGAAAAAGTGGAGATGGAGGAGGAGGAGGAAGAATAGGAAGAGAAGGAGGAGAAGGAAAAGATGGAGGTGGAGGAGGAGAAGAAGAAGAAGAAGAAGATAAAGAAAAAAGAAGAAGAAAGAAGAAAGAAGAAGAAGAAGAAGAAGAAGAAGAAGAAGAAAAAGAAGAAAGAAGAAAGAAGAAGGAGGAGGAGGAGGAGGAGGAAGAAGACGACGACGAGGAAAGGATAATATGAGGTGACAAAGGTCCTATTAAGAGAACGAGAGAATGAGGAGGATGAGAATTAATGAGGAGTCGGGAGTCACTGAGCGAAAGGAGGAGGATGGAGAATGAACGGAAAGCGAAGGGGAGACAAAGAAGAAGTGAGAGAAAAATAGACTGAAGACTGGAATAGCGAAAGAAAAATGGAGAAGAAAGAACGACTAATGATGCATAATAGAAGAGGCGAGAGAAGATAAAGAGAGACAAAGATGGGAGAAGAAGCTTAGAAGAGGGAAATGGGATAACAAAGGATGAGAGGCAAACGAGAGAAAAAGAGAATAAGAATGATAAGTGAGAGAATAAGATAAATCTTCGGATGCAAAGACAAAGGAAATGAAAGGAGAGAAGAGAAGCGAAGAAAAAAAAGAAAAAGAAAGAAGATAACGTGATAAAAACGAGGACACAAGAAGAACGCGAGGAGTGATAGGAGAATAAAGATAAAGATAATGAGAACACCAAATGAAGACTAAACGAGAGACAACATGTTAAGGTGAGATTGGAAAGAGAAGAACAGAGAGAGAGAGAGAGAGAGAGAGAGAGAGAGAGAGAGAGAGAGAGAGAGAGAGAGAGAGAGAGAGAGAGAGAGAGAGAGAGAGAGAGAGAGAGAGAGAGAGAGAGAGAGAGAGAAGAGAGAGAAGAGAGAGAAAGAGAAAGAGAGAGAGAGAGAGAGAGAGAGAGAGAGAAGAGAGAGAGAGAGAGAGAGAGAGAGAGAGAGAGAGAGAGAGAGAGAGAGAGAGAGAAGAGAGGAGAGAGAGAGAGAGAGAGAGAGAGAGAGAGAAAGAGAAAGAGAGAGAGAGAGAGAGAGAGAGAGAGAGAGAGAGAGAGAGAGAGAGAGAGAAGAGAGAGAGAGAGAGAGAGAGAGAGAGAGAGAGAGAGAGAGAGAGAGAGAGAGAGAGAGAGAGAGAGAGAAGAGAGAGAGAGAGAGAGAGAGAGAGAGGAGAGAGAGAGAGAGAGAGAGAGAGAGAGAAGAGAGAGAGAGAGAGAGAGAGAGAGAGAGAGAGAGAGAGAGAGAGAGGAGAGAGAGAGAGAGAGAGAGAGAGAGAGAGAAGAGAGAAGAGAAAGTCTACAATGAAAAAAACAGAATAAAATGATAAAGATAATACATCAAAAAGCAAAGAGAAGCATGAGAGAGAATGCGCTATTAAAATTAAGATAACGAATAACCGGGCAATAAAACCAGGAAAAAGAATGACAAGCAGGACAAATGACGACAAACGAGGGCAAGAAAAAGAGACAGATGAGGAGAGTAAAAGAGATAAGGCGTAGACAAGAAGACGAGAGAGACAAAGAAAGCAAAAAAATAAAAGAGACAGCTCCTAATTAGCCTTTGCATAATTATCTGTATCTTCGCCTTTGTAGAGTTAGCCGAGCGAATGGCAATAAGAGAAACGAGGAGAGAAGGAGCACAAGAGAAGAGGAATAGAGAGACAGAAGAGAGACAGAGATAACGAGGTAGAAAAAGTGGATAGACAGTAGATAGACTTAATAATTCATATATACAGATCAGTAATATATTGGAAAAAGTATGATAAATAGATCGTAGAATTAGTTGTATCAGTAGTAAATAAATAAAAAGAGTAGATATTGAAAAACAGTCTGTAGAAATGGTAGAAGGCGAAGGTAGAAAGAAGAACTAGTAGATAATAGAACTGGTTGACAGATGGTAGAGATAGTAGATGATGCAGGTAGATTGTAGAAACATCAGAGGGTTGTGAAACAGTAGTATGTAATAGAAATATTAGTAGATAATAGAAAAAATAGGTGGATAGTAGAAATAGTGAATAAAAGTAAATAGAAGACAGCAAGAGATTCAAGAAATTATATTGAAGGAACGGTAGGTGAAGGAAGTGATAGAGGAGGAGGAAGAAGAGGTGGAGGAGAGGAGGAGTAGAAAGAGAAGAGGTGGAGAAGAAGGAGAAGGAGGGAAAGTGAAGAAGGAGGAAGAGGAGGAGGAGGAGAGAGGTGGAGAAGAAGGAGGTGGAGAAAGAGGAGGAGGTGGAAAAGGAGAAGTAGAAGGAAAAGAAAAGAGGTGGAAGGAAAAAGAGAAGGAGGAGTGATGGGAGGAGAAGAAGGAAGAGAGGAGGAGGAGAAGGAGGAGAAAGAGGAAGTGGAGAAGAAAGGAGAAGAAGGAGAAAAGGGGAGATGAGAATGAGGAGAATGAGAATGAGAAGGAGAAGAAAAGAGAGGAGAAGAAGGTGGAGTAGGAGGAATAAGAAGAAAAGGAGAAGGAGCAGTGGGAGGAAGAAGAGATGGAGGAAGAAGCAGAGGCGGAGGAGGAGGTGAGAGAGACGAGAAGATAATGATAATAAGGTCAAGGAAGTAACGAAGTGTATCTCATAATGAACGTCAATCCTTGCGGTTGACATAGAATATTAATCGAGGTGGAAAGACGAGAAAATAAGATGACGATATGGCAACGACAGTTAAAAGTTGCCAATGAGGAATTCTTGTTTCATTCTTTGCTTTTTTGTGTGAGTAAATAAATAAAGGGTGATGCAAAATAATATAGATAACTATAATAAAAGCTACTTACAAATAACAAAGAAAGAAAAAGTGGAACAAGGATTTTTCTAAAATTAAATATATACCATTTTATCTCAAATTAGTAACATATAATCTGGAATAATATTCAACAATTAACAAAAAAAAAAAAAAAACAACGCAAAAGCCACCATCAATCAATAAGAAATTATCATGTTTCTCGATAAGAAATTCCGAGACCACAAAAAATGATTCGATCAGATACACCATGCGTCGGAAATTCCTCATTCACATACGTTTGAGGCGCGAGGGGATACCTGTACATAAACAATTGTATTTTTTTTTTTTTACATCAGAAACTGTTATTTAAAACAAAGGCTTTTTGAGTCGTATTACCTTAAAAACACATACAACAGATAAGTGAAATAGTAAACAGGCTCAGCATAAGGTCAGCGCACTCAGTGGTAATACAAGATAAGTTACAATAATTATTATACTGATATTTATAACCATGATGATGATAGCAATGATGCTTATATGAGTAATATTGTTGACATTGGTGAATATGTTTTGATAATGAGGTTAGTGGGTATGATATAATGACGCTAATGCAGTGGATTATAGCAACAAAGGGTTGAAAATATAAACACGTAAAATAATATTCATTTTCAAAGTTTGTATGGTAAACGAGCATACAGAAATTTGTATCTGTGTAGTGTCTGTTTTTTTTCTGTTTTTTTCGTTTCTTTTTGTTTTTTTACTCATTTATCACTTTTTTTTTCTCTTAATTTCACACTGGTTCATTTTTATTTTTTTCTATCATTTTTCCTCTTCTTTTCGTCCTTGTATTAATCACCATTTCCTTTTTTCTGTTCTTGATATTTTCTTTCTATTATGCTTTTCTTGTTACATTTGTTCTTTCTTCTTCACCTTGTTACATTTCCACATGAAGTCGACAAATTCTTTTATTTTCCTTTCTCAGATAATTTCCTTTTCGGATTTTCAAACAAGGTCATATTTCATCAAACATAATATTATAAAAGGTTAGGAACTGAAAATAATCCTTGAGACATAACAGACACAAAGGGACAGCAGACAGACAGATAGAGATATATAGATGAATAGATAGATAGATAGAGAGAAAGAGAGAGAAAGGGAGAGAGAGAGAGAGAGAGAGAGAGAGAGAGAGAGAGAGAGAGAGAGAGAGAGAGAGAGAGAGAGAGGAAGGGAGAGGGAGAGGGAGAGAGAGAGGGAGAGGGAGAGAGAGAGGGAGAGAGGGAGAGGAGAGAGAGAGAGAGGAGAGAGAGAGAGAGAGAGAGAGAGAGAGAGAGAGAGAGAGAAGAGAGAGAGAGAGAGAGAGAGAGAGAGAGAGAGAGAGAGAGAGAGAGAGAGAGAGAAGAGATATAGAGATAGAGATAGATAGATAGATAGATAGATAGATAGAGAGATGGAGATCCGATAAGAGATAGAGATAGAAATAAGGAGAGAAAAAAATATAAATAACACGAACCCACAGGAAGCACAAAATGGCGCACATCCATCACCCCCTTGACAAAAAAAAAAA